AATGCTACCAGTTTGATTGAAAACCATTTCTTGTGAATCTGACAGTGATAAACTATATATATATATATATATATATATATATATATATATATATATATATATATATATATATATATATATATATATATATAGTTTACAGTTTTATTTGAAAAATCATTTCTTTTCAGTTTAATCACCTGTTCAGATAATTTTATCTACGAAGCAACAAGGTATGAGATGATAAAATAGCCATTTTTTTAAAGTGCATTTTCCAAGTTCTATCTATTAAATGAACAGAAATAACCAGAACTTTAATGTAGCACCATTTTCCCCCAAGTTCTATAGACTTCACACTGAATGACCTATGATTACACTTTGCATCCATTTATGTTTGTATTTTAACCCCATAACGGCTGTAAATGTCCATGTGGCCATAAAGAGGATGAGGAATGATTTGAGTCATCGACTGTACTGTCAAATGCTCAGTGGATTGGGACTAACTCTGCTCGGCCCTTTATGAGCGTCTCAACCCCCTGTGGAACAATCCACAATGACTATAATGAACCAGTTAAAGCCTCTATAAATATCGGCTCTGCATGCTTAGTGGACGTTTGAATACCTCGGAAATAGACCACCGTTTGCAAACAAGTGGCTGGGCGTCGGAAGTCGGCAAGCTAATACATAATCAATGTGGGGGACACTCTCCCGCAGCAGACCCTCGATTCATAGAGAGGCTGCAGATATGAAGTCACTTAGAATAAGCTTGAAATTGCCATATTGATCAGCACATTTTCATCATCAATAGGAGAGGCTTTATCTGGGAGAAGTGAAAACGGCAGGGGTATTGGAAAGACTGCGTAGAACAAAACAAGCTTCAGAACTGCACTGGGAAACATTCTGCTGGTAATTCAGGGAGAAATCCAGGCTCTCCAGCAGGGATGTTAGTATAAAAGATGCAGTTTAGATGTGAGTTCAGGTTCTTGCAGACAAAAAGATGCCCCACATGGAGAAAGATATTTAAGAGGAAGTTCAGTTTGTTCTTTTTGATCCCTTTTCTTCTCTCTTTATGTGAATTTCTTATGAGTTGTCTTCTATATTCAGCATGCAGAGCTCTGGAGAACTTTAATTTTGAAGGATTTCCAGCAGGGGAACCAGGCCCTCAGCAGTGCAAAACGGAGCTAAAAGGAGACCCCTATACTTACTGATATCTAACAAAATGTCCCAGTGCTTTGTTCATACATCATATCGTTGATTTTCACTCCTTTTTCTTTTCTTTTTTTTTTAAATAAATGTACTGAAACTTTGTGTAGATATTTGTGGATCATCTATGTGACTATGTGGATCATCTTTGTATAATAATTCTGCATCCAAAATTGTTTTTTAATGCATTTAGTCAATTCAAGGCAAAAGTAAGCTGGAGCTGAGATCCATGCATTGTTACAATATTTGTGAGATTAAAGTTTGTTACAGGGAGATAAAAAAAAAAAGAAAAACTCCTTAAAAGCCTAAAACACTATTGGCTCCTTTAAACCAGGACTATATAGAGCATTTCTTCTTGCAGCTTTCAGTCTCACCAATGAACTGCTTGCACAATTGCTGCTGAGTGATTGAAGTATGAGAAGGAAGATTATATAGATAGAAAAAAACTTTTAACTATCTGTGTATATTTGTGTAGGCTAATGCTATTATCTTATTTACATTTTTTAAACAAAATAT